CCATTCATCAATCAGTGGAATCCTCCCCATTGTTTCTTTTATCTCAGTGCTAGTTTTATCTACCAGCAGACCCACAGCTTGTTTGTAAAGCCAAAATACATAATTCCTCTCAGTGTGAAGACACTTAACACATGTCCTTACAAGGGCTGCACTTTTACTCACATGGCCTGGAATTCTCAGGTTCTGGGAATCCCAGAGGGACAGATGCAAGTTTTGAGAAGGCTGTCCTTATTTTCTTAAAGATACATGGCAATCTTTTTTGATGTTTTATTGATCACAGCAGGTATTCTCTTGGCTGATTTTTTATTTCTTCAATCAAAGTGGATCCAGAGCCACGCTTAATTATTACTTATAACACTCAGAGCTTGTAATTCATCCTGTAAGACTGAAAACTCTTTTCCATGGACAGAGATCACAGACAGTGTCTCTGGGGGCTCTGTCCAGGGGGGTTCCTGACCCCTGCCAGGGTCCCAGACCTTCCAGGGCAGCCAGAGGGATGCCCTGGATTCCCACACAAGAGGACACAGCAGGGCCCCCATGGCATCACTCAGCACCTCTGTACTGTAGGAAGGTTGAACACACTCGATCAGTGGCAAAGCAGTGGATATCACTGAAGGAGAGTTACCTTTCAGATCTGTGTGGCTACAGAACATTCCTCCTATTGTGCTCTAGGTGGAGAAAGAACACCAAGCCTTGAGCAACAGACTGCAGTTTCATTTGCTCATCTGCCTGAAAGCTATGAGAAGGCTCCAGAGCCATTCTCCTCCATCCACATCTGATCATAAAGTGCATTATTTAAACATTTATAATCGAGAGCACCCTCTTTGGGTGACTGAAAAACCCCTCTGTGATCTACAGGTCACTGTGTCAGCCTAAGGAGTAAGAAATGTTATTCAAATACTTTTATGTCTGCACGCTGTGAGTTTAGATTTGGGACCCTGCATTTAAAAATTATTGTTCTGAGTTTTCCTCTGTTATTGCAACTCCCCTCCACTGCACCACTTTTCCCAGAACTAACATACAAATTCTTTTATTTGTTTCACTCAGAAGCTGCAGCAGGGATTCTTCTGTTTGCTTGCTTTCCCCCACTGTATTTTGTCAGAATCTGTGGTATTGATGATTCCAGGATTGTAGAAAGTCTCTGTCTTTCTGCCCCGCTGCCAAAGAAGAAGCCATAATTCGTCTGTGCTGGTTTCAAGGTTGTTTATTCTGTTTATCTCTAACATGTTCTGCTGCCCTGCCGCAGCTCTGTCCTGCAGGGCAGCGTGTGGGGCTCTGCCCTCAGTGGGATGTTACAAACATTAAATACCACAAACTACCTGTGCTGGATTTACAATAACGTGCCAATATCTGTCACCTACGTTGGACAGTGTGTCCCCAGCCTGAACCAACAGAAAAATGCCAACACTGCAGTGAAACATGGAGGGCATGAAGAAGGAGAAAAAGGACAAGGCACACCCAATTTCCTCCATCTTGTCCCCTTTGGACCCCTTATCTAGAATCCTAAAATTTTACTTTTGCACCCATGCCACACTTAATTATTACTGATATCAAACACTCAGAGCTGGTAATTCATCCTGTAAGATTGAAAACTCTTTTCCATGGACAGAGATCACAGACAGTGTCTCTGGGGGCTCTGTCCAGGGGGGTTGCTGACCCCTGCCAGGGTCCCAGACCCTCCAGGGCAGCCAGAGGGAAGCCCTGGATTCCCACATATTTGGTCTGGGAATGAAAAAAAAAAAAAAAAAAAAAAAAAAAAAAAGAGAAAAGAGGGGTTGTTTCAAACTGCAGATGCTCTGACAATTTTATCATTTAACCTTAATTATACACAGCAGAGCCATGGCCATTGGTGTAGCGTCAGCAGCACCGATATCCCATCTGCTGTGCCTGAGCACAGCACTTTGCTGTGGCTTAAAGTCTGGAAATGTGATGTTCTCTGGTTTGATTATCCCTTAGTCTGTGCTCCAGTCTGGCCCGTGCGCTCTGTTTGCCTCAGAAGCTCTTCAGGAGACGTCAGGGGGGATTTTGTGACTCTTTGCCGGGCTCTGGGGATGCGGAGCAGCCTGTGAGCAGTGCTGAGCAGCAGCTGGGGAGCCGTGCTGGGGTCAGGCTGGGCGCAGTGACGCACGAGAGCCGCGCTCAGCGTTCTGCTCGCCGCCCCGCCGCGCTGAGCTTTCCTCCAGTCACCTCCACCACCTCCTGCTAATGCTCATCCTCACATGAGTGCACACAAATCCAGCAAGAGGATTTGGGAGCAGCTTAGACAAATGGTTCATTAGGGTCTTTTCTCTGCCAAGGGATGTTTTTTTTTTTTTTTCTTCCCTGAGGTTCTCATCACTGAGCTACTGTAAAAATAAATTCTCCAAGTCACCAGACAGCTGCCACCCTAACAGACTTGTCTGGCATCCAGGCATGAGGGACAGGGATCATTATCCCATCAAGAGATGGCTTTTTTTTGCTCTCAGTTAGGCTGCATGAACAGAGTGGGTCCCTGCAAGCCATATACAAGCTGTGGTTGCAGATTTGCAGATCCTGTGGTGCTGCTCAGGTACTTCTGAACCTGGTTGCTGTGAAGGGAGGTGCTCCCTAGAGCAGTCTCTGGATGTGTGGTGTTCAATCACTGTAGGTTTTCTAGTTTAAAGAACCTAATTCTACAGGTAGCCTTGTACACACAGAAGCTGGTGGAGAATCGAGTTGGTTTCAGTGTCTGTAGTACCAGCAAGTGTCTCAATAGCTCCCACTCTCCAGCCTGAGTCAATAACAAGCCTTGTCTGTCCAAATCCCCTTTATCAGTGTCCCTGTTAGATCTGATACTGCCTTCTTGTCCTGTCCACCACCTCTGCAAGCCAAACTGCTCAGCTCCCAGTCCCCCATTGCAGCTGAGCACTAAACAACTCCTGCAGCATCACCTGCAATCAGGCAATTTTGGAGCTTTCCTGGATGGCTTAGTGATTCATGCAATGCTCTCTGCATTCACTGTTTAGTGCTTCCCCTCCAAGCCCTGCTCAGACAGAGAGAGGCAGACTCAAACCAGGACTGGGTTGTTCACTGCACCATCTCCAAGTGGCTACAGGGTTTGCAGAATGCCTTTTGAAGAGCTGCTTGTCCTGATCAGACCACTCTCTTCCCATGGTATCTTCTCTTCCAGTGTTCTTTCCTCCAGACCTCCTCCTTCTCCTCCTGCCTCTCCTTCCCCACTACATCAGCACCACTTCCCCCACACCAGCAGAAAAAAACACTTTTCTGTCTACTCACTCTTCTTCCTGGCTGCCCACTCCTCCCTGTATTCCATACTTCCCCAGTGCAAAGGTTGGGTATCAATTCTTTGGAGAAGAAAATTCTATATGGTCACCCTGCAATGGGCTCTGTATGATGATCTGCTCAGTGCAAGAATGCTCATGTAGACTGTGAAGAAATAATCCACATTAAATAGTCAAATACACTGGAAGAAAAAGAAGATTACTCTATGGATTCAAAGTTATGGCAAGTTGTGATTTAATTTTTGGAGAGGTCTCTATGTGAAGAGATATCTTATTTTATTTTTTTTAATGATCTAATTTTTTGAGGATCACACCAAACCAAGAATGGACCTAATTTCTCCTTTATTCTGAAAAATAGCCAAGATTTAAATTCCTCAAGATGTTGCCTCGTTTGCCATAATTATTTGTTTTAGACAAGTAAACATCACATCACAAAACTATGTCGTCAAACTCGCTTGCCTGAGAATAAAAATGGGTCTAATTTCCAGAGCCAAGGAAATATTTTATACAGCAGGACGAGGGGCTATGGAAAGCTCAGGGAGATGAGATCTGGCTGCAAGGCAGGACAACTCTCAGCAGCAAGCTCTGTGGGGCTGCAAGCGAGATGGTTTTATTTAAAGAAAGGACCAGGGGAGTGAAAAGGGCTGAAATTGTACCTCTGCCAAGTCATTTTACAGGATGATACTCACCTGAGATCTACAGATGAGGAGAAGCATCACTGCTAAGCAGCTGTAAACTTCCAAACCTGCTCTTGTCCCCCTTCTCCTGCTCTCTGGGTGTGTGTGGGATGTTCTCTCCACATCTCCCACTCTCTGGGATCTGCTGCAAAGAGCATCCCTCATTCCCTATGCAAATCCATTGATGAAAACATAAAATGCATTGTGCTGCTAAAACTTGCTGAGCTTGTTTGACTAAGTGCCAAGGATTAGCAGCACGTAAATTCACCATTGATTTGACAACAATGATATTATGTGCCCTAAACACCAATGGGATTTGTTCAGTGTTTAGGATGTGGGCTCTGATGTGGAAAAAAGGGATTGCTAGTAATTTTTTAAGCCTCTTTGGCTGCACTAAGGCAGACTGTTGATATTATATAAATTCTTTAGATAAAATAAATATCAGTCTTGGGATAAGTAGAGTGGATGTTTAACTTTTCCAGTGTACAGCTGAATTGTAAAGCTGACTGTGTATTGCTGTAAACTGTAAAATGAAAATTGCCCCATCTCTCTAAAAAGGGCAAAAAGAAGATGTTGGAGTAGAAAAGTAATCACAAAGGGCAGCAATAAAACAGATTATTATGCCTTAAAAGCGGTGAGGTGAAGATTTCTTTGTCGGTAGAAAACTAAAAATGTCCCCTCCAGGACTTGTCCCCACTGTGATTGTTCCCTCCCTGGCTCTGGTGTTCAGCAACTTTGCAAAAGCAAAATGAGATAAAAGCATTGTCAGCATGAGTGGGGACCACCTGGGACAAAACTTGGGGGACAGGGCTGACCAGTCATTAGACAGGAGCTGCAGAGGCGAGGGAAGGGAGACTTGTGGTGGTTTGCACCAGGACAAGCTTAGCCAAGAGTCTGGAGAGCAGCTCCCAGCTGGGCAGCTCAGGGCTGTTTGAGAGGCTGGGAGTTTGCAGGGTTCTCAGGGATATGCTGGTCTCTCTTTAAAATGAAAGCAAGCCCAGTTTGGTGGCAGTTTTATGTCTGTTTGTTTGTTTTTTCAAAGGTGCTCAGCATGTAGTGACCCTCCTACTAACCGGCTTCTTTTTTTTTTTTTGCTGTGAACTATCCCCCAAGAGTTGTTTTCAAGTGTTCTTTGCTTTTAATAAGAATCACTAATTAATCTAATTTTTTAAAAAACAGCATCTGCCATTTCTCATGCCAGGCCTGCCATTGCATTGCCCTGCAGCCCCAACCCCAGATAAGCATCGTGCAAACTGCACTGGTAACTTCCCATCCCTTAGAAACTTTAGCAAGGTATCACCAAGCATTCAGAACTCATCAGGATCACTGCTTTCCTGCTTTCCATGGTGTCTGGTGGGGAGGGAAATGAGTCTCACTGCTGTCATAATCACCTGCTCCTTCCTCCATCAGCATCCCAGGTCTGCCGTGGTGGAAAGGTTTGAAGCTCCTGGCCATGAGGAATAGGACGTGAGTCTTATAAAGAAAAGGCTCTTCCCCTAAAAAGAAAGAAAGAAATGCTCTGTGATCATTTCTAGGAAAAGCTTTTCCTAGTGCTTAGCAGCCAGAACTGATAACCAGGAGTGAGCCTGCCCTTTGTGCTTGACTGCTTGCATTCTGACTTCTATGGCTTCATACTGACTTCTTGCATCCTTTCCAAAGCTTGATCTATGCAAAATTAAGAAAAATATGATATTTTGTTTCTTTTCCCCACTCACCAGCTTTCTTACACACATTATGTGGTATTTTCCACCGCAGCAAGAGTGGCAGGAAGAAAACTTGCAAAAAAATCACATTATTATTTACTCTAGCTTCATGTCCCTCTCATGATCTTGTTTTTGTAACTCATAGATTTCTATGAAGTGGAAACAGTCTGACTGGCATGCTGCAACAATTTTATCATTAAATATTGCCAGAGATTGCTCAGTCCTTTATATCAGCACTAAACAGCTGACATCTAAACACGGAGGACCTTTTAAATGAGTATAGTTGTATTCTGGGGGTAGATATGTGTATTTGAAAGAAAAAGTACTGGGATGTGTTCCTGTTTTCCATGAGAACTAGCTAAAGAGCTGCATCCTCTGCAGGGTGACAGGGTACACTTGACTTGAGCAGAAATGCTGATCAGAGCAGAGTCTGCCTTTCTTGGCTCTCCTGGGGCTGCAAGAAACCAGCTGGGAACAGGAGCCCCCGTTCTGTCAGCACTTCAGAATCTCCTACAAACCCTCCACAGTCACTGCTGACCAGTCACTACACCTGACCAGTGACTGCTCCACTTCAATATTTGCTTTTTTCTTCACCCTGGGCTTGTACAGAGCTTTGCAAGGATGTTGGAGACAGCGCTGGGCTCGCCTGGAAATGGGGAGGTGGGAGTCAGTCATGCAGACAAACTGAGAGCAGCTAAACACAAGCAAGGGCTGTGATTGCTGATGGCAGCTTTACTCAGAAATGTGGTCTGGGATTTCTTCAGTTTGTCCTGGGCAATATCTTTTACTAAATGTCTCACTCACATGCTGACAATTACACATCATGGTTTAGGAAGGGATTATTTCAAAGGTAAGCTGGACAACAGAACATTCTGGAGGACTTTCTCAGTTTGACTCACATTCTAAACTTGCAATGAATCTTTGGGAAAAAACTGCCTTTGATGCATTGCTCTTGGATGTGCTCATGACCATATGCATTAATTTTCTTCCATTCGATTTCCACCAACAAATCTCACTGCTGTTTCTCAGCAGGTGATAATGATGCTCAAATGTTGCTTGTCTTTTGAGGTCTGCTCTGCTGAACTGATGCAAAATGATCACTTTCTCCTCTCATACCAAATTCCCACTGGATGGGATTCATCTCAGCAGCTTTGCTTGTCCAAAAGGAGATTAGAATTGGAATTGCCTCCTCAGCTCCCTCCTGAGACACAGGCACTGCTGAAAGGGGCCTCATTTCACCTTTCCTGCCCTCCCACATGATCTGGAGGCATCTGTCCCTTCACTGCTGGACAGGCAGCTTGGACAACTTATCTGAACAGGACACAGAAGTTTTAGACCATTGGAAATCACATGTGATGCATCTCAGGAGATTGTTTTTTTCCCCCCAGAGACATACAGGCAGTGTGAAGTCTGCATCAGATAAAAGCCCTGTAAATGAAATTTACATTTCAGTGAAATATTTTTGCCCACAAAAGACAAAAATATCTGTCTAAGACATATGGATATGATTAATGCTAGGGAAAGCCATGAAAATGTAGGTCCGGGAGAAAGTAAAGACAAAAAACCACAAAGTTGGCTGATGCTTTTCATTTATTTGAGTGTATGGTAATATACATAATTCAGACAAAATTAATTGAAGATATATTTCTCATTTTTCTCTAAGGAGCCAATTCCTTTCACCTCTCTGAACATACAGAGTGCTCTGGTTACCTGTATGTTGCCCAGTGGCACAGGTTGCCCAGAAAAGTTGTGGCTGCCCCGTCCCTGGAAGTGTTCAAGGCCTGGTTGGATTTGCCTTTGAGCAGACTGGACTCCCTCCTTCCTCCTGGCCTCAATAATCCAAGGAATAATCTGGGGAACACGCTGGAGGTCAGAGCTCAAGGGTTTGGCAGTTTTGTGAGGACTGAAGGATGCCCAGAGAGGATCCTGCCATTGTGTGCATTGCTCCCTGTGCTCCCACCATAACCCCTGATCTGGGAAATACAAAGAGGATGTTCCCAACACACTTTAGGGATGGCATTCACCCCTCACCCTCACCCCCTCACCTGTCAGACTCCCAAATTTCTTTCATTTTCTGTGTAAGCAGTTCCCACAGTTCCTCTACCAGCCAAATAAATACCTTGCTTTGTGTGTTCCACTGAGTGCTTTGGGATTTGAACTTGTTCCCATCTGTCCTCTCATTTTTCCTCTTATCCTGCACATCAGGTGATGCATCTGCATCAGGTCACTGCTGCCAGTTGGATAAATACAGGTTAGCAGGCCTCTGGATCTGGCTGACTGAGGAGAGATTTTTTTTCACTGCAGGTCAAATCTCACATAGTTCTTGAAGACAAATCTTAGTAGTGCTTTATGACTCGTTTGCTTTCCTTTAATTCCTCAAACAAAATGACAGATTTGGTACAATGGGAATAAATGAGGGGTTAGGTCTCTATCTTGTGGTTTTTCCCTCCATGGCTTGAGGAGTGGTTGATCTCTTTTTGACACCTGATTTTAGGAAATCCTTCATGCCTGAGAGACAAGGCCAGACCATGGGGCCTTTTCCTGCTGGAGCTACGTAAGGTGGAACCTAAACTCTTGTCTGTCTTCTTAGCAGTCTTCACTGTGGTTTGGGGTGTTTTTCTGCTCAAGTTTTTGCTTTTCATGAAGGAAAGCCTCTGTAACAGGTTCTTCTGGTTCCTACAATTCCTCCAAGGCCAAGGATTTTCCAAAGGTGCCTGGATGCCAGGTGATTCCCAGCTGAGTATCACTCAGTGATAGAAAAGCCTCAGTGCTTTTCTCAGTTAGCTCCTCTGGCCTGGAATGATCTGGTTTCTCCCGAAGAAGAGGTCAGGATCTCAGCCACCCTTGGTTTCTTTAGTCCCTGAAAATATGAGAGGATGATTCAGCCTCTCATATCTGAAGTGTCCTCTCTTTTTCTTTTGTTCTCTGCTGACTGCAAAAGGTGCTGAGATGCACAAGACTGCTGCTCAGAGGCTCCTGGAACACAATCCCTGCATCTCTGGATGTGATGGGAATGGGGTTTCAGCTGTGGCCACAGCCTGTGAGCCCTGCTGTGGAGCTGGGCAGCCTGGCTGCCCTTTCAGTGCCCAGCCACCTCAGCTCTCTGTGGCTCCAGTGGCGGGCACGGTGCCCATTGCCCGGCAGCCCAGGGTTCCAGCTGACCCCTTAAAGGAGGCTTTAAGTGAAACAGAAATGAAAAACACCTCTAACCAGAAATGCATGTTAAGCAGGATCTATGCTGTGACACCATGAGATGAATGGATCTCCCCCATCACTCCTAAATCAAAACAAGGACACTCACAAGAGCAGCTTTGGGACTGATGTTACAGTCAGAGACCAAGCTTGTTTTTCTTTCTTTCTTTTGCCAAAGTATTTCTTGTTGAAAGTTTTTGTTTTGTCAGACAAAAAATGATGCTCTAAATCATTTTCTAGTCCTGCTTCCTTGCCAGTCCTGCCATGATCCCTGTGCCAGGGGTGTCAGGCCCCTCTTGAGTGGCAGAGGCACTTTATAGTGTGTTACAAAAAAGTTTCCCCTTCTTCAACCTGAATCTGACCCTTTTTCCTTGCTTGGAAGAAAGCTATTTCATTTATTTGGAAGAAATATTGAGTTTCTGTTTCAAGGAGGGGCAGCAAAGAATCAAATTAATGAAACCCAGTGTCAGGTTACGAAGACCTATGGAAGAGATCTCTTTCACAAGCATCTTTGAGATGCCCACCGGGGTGTCCTGCTCAGCCTGCTTGATTCCACAGGGGACATGCCAGCACCCCTGGGCACCCTGTGCCTCGCAGCCTGCTGCCTGGCATCATCCCTCCAGGACATCTGGCACCGATTCCAACCAGACTGTCATTTCCAGGTCAGTCTCCGCATTTCTGCTGACCACGTTGCCTCCATCATGAGATCATGTCTTTCCAGAGGAATCCTGCTAATGCCTTCATTCTGCCAGGCCGGTATATATAGGGGGAGCTTCCCTGGGGCTGCAGTCCAGCCAAGGCCTCGCCGTCTCCCCAGCAGCGGCGCTGCCCCTTCCGCTCTCCCCTTGCAGCCACAGCTCTCAGCAGCAGCAGCAGCAGCAGCAGCAGCAGCAGCAGCAGCATGGACATTACCATCCAGCACCCCTGGTTCAAGCGTGCTCTGGGACCCCTCATTCCAAGCCGTTTGTTCGACCAGTTTTTTGGAGAGGGTCTCCTTGAGTATGACCTCCTGCCTTTGTTCTCGTCCACTATCAGCCCCTACTACAGGCAGTCCCTCTTCCGCAGCGTGCTGGAGTCGGGCATTTCAGAGGTAAGGGCCCTTTATTTCCTCTCCTTTCCTTCCTCTCCCTCCTTTTCCAGCTGCTCCTCTCCACCCACATCTCACGCTGCTGTAGCCCCGTGTGAGGGGACGAGGAAGGTCCCGAGCCCACTGCCAGGCACAGCCACCCATCCCTTCTTGGGCACAAAGGGAACCTCTCAAGGGGACAAAGCTTCCCTTCGAGAAACAGGAACCATTTCAGCTCCTTTGGAGGGTTGTTTCCAGCTCAAGAAGGCTGTTTTGGTTGCTCTGTGCCCGCCACTTGTGTAGTGATAAAGAACAAAAAAGCTTGTCATGGGAGAGGACCCTGGCAAGTTGGAGCTTTCTCCACCTTCTCCTCCACCTTGGGAGCTCGGTGGTTTTAGAAATCCCTCACTGAAGGACCCTGGAGCAATTTTCTGAAGGGAACTGTAGGGGAATGTGTAGCTGTGGGGGCCATGATCTGAAATTCAGGTAGAGGTGCTTTCTCTAGCCCTCTCTTACTGCTTTCCTCCCAGAGCTATGACCACAACGAAACCATAAATCACTGAAAGGACAAAACACATGCTACCAGAGAGTCTTACACTGGTTTCCATCCCCTCTCTGTGCCTGGTCCATCTGGCAGGTCACTGAGTGCTAAAAGGTCCCTGGCACAAGAACAGCAGCAAGGAGTAACACCTCTCCCCAGAGCAGTAGCCAAGGTGCAGACACCAGCCATGGTCTCCTGGTGACCCTGACACCTCCCACGGCCTCCCAGTGACCCTGACACCTCCCACAGCCTCTCAATGTCCTTGGGTGCCCACAATGGGAAGAAGACCCCTGCTGAGACCCATAGTCACAGAAAGACAAAGTGCCAGACCACCCCTTTTTTGGGTTTTGATCTGTGGTGATGTTGGCACTGTCCCCACACCCAGAGCTGGGGCCTCACTGTGTGACAATGCTCGTTCCAGGTGAGGTCTGATCGGGACAAGTTCACAATCATGCTGGATGTAAAACACTTCTCTCCCGAAGACTTGAGCGTGAAGATTATTGATGACTTTGTGGAAATCCATGGCAAGCACAGTGAAAGGCAGGTAAGTGAAGTGACGGTGATGGTGGAGAAGCTGGGGAGTCCAGCTCTCTTTTCCTCCTTTCCAACGGTTCTCAGCTGAAGGAAAAAAACCAGAATATATCAGAAGAAGGAGTTAATTATGAATTGTCATTACTGGCATGGCCTGTTCCCATAGAGCCCCCACCTGATATCTGACAATAACAAGCTAATCCACCCCTCTTTTGTTTATTTTCAATCATCATCTTCCATAAGCATCAGATGACCGTGTCCATTGTTCACTAATAACACTGGGCTAGACGCAGAACATCATCTGGCACTGCTGAAGCATGGCTGAGTTTTCATAAGCCAGAACCCTTAGTGAAAACAGAGTTTTTATATGCCAGTCTGGGAGAGAAAAGCAAGAGCAAACAAAACAAAAGAAAACCAACCAAGTGCCTCAGGCTTGGAAACTTTTAACACGGATGTCATGGAAATATCTGTGGGGGTCAAAAAGTGAATTATACCAGCAGGGATTTAATTCTTCTCATACACATTTTTGGCCAGACAAAGCTCTAGCCTGGAAACAGTATGTATTTTTAAATATAGTTATTCTCATGGCCAACTTTAAAAAAATAATTGCACTTTTCATTCTTTTGGCCAAAAAAAGAAGGGGGCCAGGATTGTATACTTTGGCTGACACAGCATTGCAGCCTAGTAAATAAATACATGGGTGCACACAACCACCTTGCTTTTACCTTCTCAGGCCTCCAGACTTTGTCTGCAAGCATCCTTTGAAATCAGAGGTCTAAATCAAATCCCAACCTGGCATCAAACCTATGGCCAAAATCACTCCTTGCTGCTGTGCTCAGCTCTTGCAGCTTCAGAGGTGTCAGGGGGGGATCCCTGCCCCTACAAACCCGCAAAATTTAACCCAGCAGAGGTGTGCCAGCAGTGCTGGCAGTGCAGTGCCACGATCAGCCAGGGTGGTTGTGGATCTCCTGCTCCGAGTGCCGGGGAGTTTCTGACACGCCTTCCCCCCTTTCCCCACTGCCTCTCAGGACGACCACGGCTACATCTCCCGGGAATTCCACCGCCGGTACCGCCTGCCCGCCAACGTGGACCAGGCCGCCATCACCTGCTCGCTGTCCAACGATGGCATGCTGACCTTCTCGGGCCCCAAGGTCCCCTCCAACATGGAGGCCAGCCACAGCGAGAGGCCCATCCCCGTGTCCCGGGAGGAGAAGCCCACCTCCGCGCCCTCCTCCTGAGCCCGCCGGCCACCGCGCTGGCCAGGCCGCCACCGCCTGCGGGTCTCGCTCCCAGAGCCTTTGCGTAGATATCAGTGAATATCTAGAGGGGTTTCTTCTGTTGGTTCCTCCCCCACTTTGTTTCCTCTTTTTTTTTTTTGTTTTCTTTTATTTTTGTTCTCCCCCTCTTCCCTTGGATGGAATGAGGGGCTGGGTGAGCGGCTGGTGGACTTGGAAGCTTAAATATCATGGGAATGGCATGGGTGGCAATGCTGCCATGCTGCTGTACTTGCTGAAAGGGTCTTTGTCTGGTGCTGTAGCCCATATCCACCATCAGGCAGGAAGGAGAGCACGAGTAACGCTGGCTGCTGGTGCACCCAGCCGTGAGGCAAGGCTTGGGGCAGGGGAAAAGCCCTGCAGAATTGCTGTACCCCACTCAGAGTTAAACTGGTTACTCTCAAATAGCAACAGAGCCAAGCCCCACACTCAAAGCCCCGCGTCCATGTGACAAACCTGCCACGAGTTCCTTGCAACCGCAGGAGAAACAACAATAACAATAATAACAATTACCAACAATATCCCACCTTCGGGGGGGGGGGGGTTGCAATGTGTATTTTTTTATTTCAGCAAAATGTTTAAGTGTCTCTGTTCACACCTTTGCCCTGTCATTTCCCTTCGGGACAACTGACAGGAGGACAAGCACGTCTTTCCACTGTCTTTGTAGGCCCTCGGGGGGGAGAGAGGGGGGCTCAGCACTGTGCAGAGGCTTCTCATCCCCAGCCAGCTCTCCCCAGCCTGTGTGTCACACACCGTCTCCCTTGCTCTCTCCTGTAACTCTAGGGTAGCTCCACCTCTCCCACTGGTATCTGGCGCTCAACCTGAGACCGTGGTCAGTGGCGGTCAATAAAGTGATATAGGAAACAGGCAACCGGCGTTGGGGGTTTCATTTGTTCCTTCTTAAGGCTCTTGGAGGTCAGTGTGGTGCCCAGCACCACTTGGAGGATGTCCTTTCCACCACTGGAAGTACTTTTTGTGAGGGTGGCTCGCCCTTTATTTTGTGTTCCCGTTATCCCTCGTGCAAGCAGAGCCGAAAGGATCAGAGGAAGAACAAAATTCAGCAGCCTGACCAGCACCATTGGGTCAGTACAAACAGCAGTTCAAACCTCATGCCCATGGAATCACGGGACAGATTTAATCTGAAATTAATGATTAAAGTTGTGGGTGGGTGGGGTGGAGGTATGAGCTCTCCCTGAAGTTGCCACACATGAAATCCACAGCTCCAGTGTACGTGAATACCCAAGACTAAAGGTTTCAGCACTCATGCTCTGCTCAAATAGCTTTCCACACAGAAGCATATCCAGGGTGTTCAGGAAAGGCCCCCACATCCCCATAATTTACCACATGGGTATAATCATCTCAGACAGTTTGTGCTCTGCCAAAAGGCTGAACCCACCAACCTCCTCCTCTTTGATGCTGATTAGCTGTGAAAAACAGAGGAAATAAATGCAGTTGTTTGCTGGTTGTTTTTTTTTTTCCCCTCAGTGCGTGGGCTTAGATATTAATATGAGCCATAAACACAGAAGCACTGAGACTATTTAAATTTAAAAGCCACTTGCTTCTGCCATATCTAGGCCAAAACTCAGGGAGGGCTGGAAGTTAAGGAGCAGAGGCACCACCTCTTATCCAGACAGAGGGAGTGTGCCCCAGGGTTCATCCCAGTCCCCTGCCTGCATCCTCTGAGGGATCATTCCTGGGACCAGCATCACAGCACCTGTGTCAGAGGCTGGGAGTGGGACAGGGCTGCAGGAGGGGGGAAAGTGCTGCAGATGCAGGAGAAAGCAAAGGAGGGAGATGACTCTCTGCTAATTAGAAAGCAATAAATCCCCTCAGCGTCTGACACTCTTTTAAACCAATTTTTTACTGAGATTAATTACTGGGCAATCTCAGGGCTTTCTACCACAGATTGTGCAGCCCTGTTGTGTTTGCATCTCCGGGGGAAAGGCGTGAATGAGTGCACTTTGGGAATGGGCAGTTTCATTCCAGGAGGGAGCTGTAGCTGCAGGCATGGAAAGGGCATTTTAACTGAAGCTGCCTCCTTTCTCTGCCTGGTGCTAACAGGTCCCCAGCCTCTGCTGCTTTCCCTTCAGATGCTCCTTTTGCCAGAGCCTCGGTGCCTCCCTGCCATGTGCTGACATCTCTCTCCTTCCTGACAGAAACCCAGCAAAGCCAGCAGAGAAAAGAAAAGAAAAAAAAACAAAACAATGAATCCAGACATTTGACCCCCCCATTCAAACCTCTCAGAGGTGTAAAAATAGGGAAACAGATTTTGAGTGTGATCTGTGTGCAGATGTAAACTGCAGCTGCTTGAGCAGCCTGTGTGTCTGTCAGGGACATGAAATGACACTTGAGCCATTTGTGGGCCCCTTTTCATGCCTGGCTGGCAGAAAGTGAGAGTTTTGATAGGAAATGATGACAGGAAATCAGGGCAGGTTTGAGGCAAGCCAGGAGCCACGCAGAAGGGGCAGCAGCTCAGGATCCATGCTGCCCCTCACTTTTGGGGACACCAGACCATGACTGTCTCCCTGCTATGAGAAGGGATGATTTTAAAGCCTTTTGCAATCCATAAGCTAATTAAAACCATAAGCAGCTCTGAAAGCCTCTGTACAAGGACATTGGGGTGTGTGGTGGTGTTTTGTGTGGGACAGGGAATGTGTCCCCAAACCGAGAGCCCCTCTGACTCCAAAAGGCTCATCCACTTGCAGATCAGCTTGAACACTGCCCCTAATGTGTCTAACTCAAAATATTTCAATTTTTTCACCCAGAAGTCTTCCCAGTCACATCTGTCCAGGATACTCCTCTTCTGTGCAAAAATTTTTGTTTCCCTTTGCTGAGATTAATTGTCATTTAAAGAAATTCTTGTTATTCATAACCTATGGTGGTTTCAGGAAAGAGCTCTCCACCACAACTTTCTTTGCAAATTCACCTATTAATAATGTGCTGGTAACACTCTTTAGGGATTAACAAAATTTCTTGCATGTTTTTTGGTTGTGAATTAGTTGATAGTTTTATGATGGAGGGAAAGGCAGCAAAGGACTCAGCCCACAGGGAAATTCCAAAGTGTCTGGGCAGTTTGTGAAGCGTGGCCTTTAACCACGGGCTTCTGCTCAGGGTGACTATTCATCCTTTTGCAGTGTGTTTTTATTGCCTGCCCTCCATTTCCACCCAGACCTGTAATCTCTCTTCCCTACAGCAAAGCAGAAATGACTTTAGCTTCTCCGCCAGAGGAATTATCAGAGGGAACTCAGGAGGATGCAGCAGATGGTGCTCCAGGGACATGCAGCCTCCTCCAAGTAATTCCCCTTCTTCCCACAGGCCCCAGTGACTCAGTGGGGGTGGCAGTGACGTGGGGACAGTGACAGCAGCAGCTCCTGGTGCTTTACCTGCCCCCTCCCCTCCTTGGCACTGCCCTGCTTGGGCAGGGTACCTCTGCCAGGCTCCTGTTTCCTCCAAGAAAAATCCAAGAGCAAGAACTGGCAGGTTCCAACCTGCAGGCTACCAGGCAGGAAGCTGTCCCTGAGCATTTGGGACAGAGCTCCTGGCTTGTCACCCTTCTGGGCAGGGGGATAAGGAGGATTCTCCTCGTCCTGCTCACCCGGAGCTCACACAGCCCTCTCTGCAAGGGAGCAGCGGGCGGTTAAGGGATGCTGCATCCTCCCCACTCTGATCCTTTAGTCCTGTAATGTTGTCCCCTGGCTCCTGGCAGAAGGACAGCCCTGGAGACAGGGAGGGATTGCCTGGCAAAGCCGTGTCCCCACGGGGTGGCAGCCTTGCCTGTGCTCTGGCACTCCCCAGGGCTCCCTCTCACCAGGTTTCAACATCTCCCCACAGAGATGGGACCCGGGGCACAAGGCAAGCAGGCACAGGGACCCAACCAGAGTTGCACAACTCTGGCATTTCTTGGTTTCTGATTGATTTACAAGCTAGCCAGTGCTACATAAAAACTGGGAGTAGCCTGAAAGTTTACCAGCATTTTTCACCCAAAGCAAATGCTGCTGCTTGCAATCTCTGTAACCCCTCATCTCCTTGGCATCATCATCAGGATTTGGGCTCTGCCACACAGGTCTCTAAATCTGGAATTAAAATAGCAGTAGCTGCCTCTGTTAGCGAGAAAAATAATAAAAAAAGGGGCTCCAAACAGATTAAAACCCCTGCAGTATTCTCTAAAAAAAACACTGGGCACATCTCTGCAGTTTATTGCAGTGTTGGGCACATAAATCCGGGAGGTGCAGCCAGAGGAGACTGTATTGGTATGGGCTGTGTCCCCCCCTAACGTGGGCTCTGTCCCTCTGGTGTGACCTCTTGTGAGGACAGGCTTGGAAAGCCACCAGCTCACACCAGGGGAGCAGGTGCCTGCTGTGTCCCTCATTTCCCAGCTCCTGATCTGCTGTGGGGCTTTTCCCTGGGGAAATGAAGTCAGGGCCCATCCAGAGCCCACAGAGCAGGGCTGGAGCCTGGCTACACGGCTGCTGCTTCACTTAACTGCAATTAACTGGCCCTTTTAATGAAAAATGTGAGCTTGGGACAGGCACAGATGTTCGTGGCATTTCTGAGAGAGCAGCACAAGTGGAATAAAAATGAAATCTCAGCCAGGGAGGCTGAGGCAAGATGATGGAGTGACGCAAGCTGACCAAAGCTCAGGAGACTTGTCTCTGCCTCAGAGTTCATCCTCCAGCTGACTTGCAGAGATCTACCACACATCATGGGGGCCCTGAACACCTCTGAGTTTGTCAGCTGCCCTGGGATGTGATCCACAAGGGTCTAGAGCCTCCTGGAAGCACTCATTGATTCCAGAGTGGGCTGTGATGTCTCACTAGAGCTGTTTTGGGGTGGCTGAGGGTCACTCTGTGCCAGGGTCCAGAGGTGGGGAGGCAGTACTTGGGGTGGGTTCAGCACACGAGGGGCTCATGGACAGTGTGGCATTGCCTGGAGTGGGCTGGTGTGTCCCAGGGGAAGCAGCAGCTCAGCTGGCAGTCAGGAGAAAGGGAGTTTCCATGACTTGCTCATGGTGCTTGCTCTGCTAAAATTCCGTAGCTGCTCATGTCATTGCCCTCCCATCAGGGGGAAAGGAGCATTGCTTAATTCAGAGCCTGTTCTGCCTTCAGGCCATCAGTGGGATCTGCTCACTTCTGTAATTTCAGTGCACACAAAACCCGTAGCATCCAGCACGGCCTTTGCACACCAACAGCTTTATTTCCTCAGCGCCTCGAGTGCTGTGCTCAGAGATGCTGCACCCAAGGATTTTTACATACTCATCTGTTATAAAGAAAATTTGTCCAGCCAAATTAAAATGAAAAAATAAAATATTTATTTGCAATCAAATTCTCTCTAGCCAGCCACAAGAAAAGAAGAGAGCCAGGCCCGGGGTTGGCCCTGGGTGTGCAACAAGGAGTCAGCCTCAGAAGAGGTTTTCCCCTATGCCCACACACCTCCATCCTGGCACAAGCGGTTTTTATAAGGAAAATTCCGCCAAGATTTCGGCAGTCAGTCTTTTCTTCCATTCAGAGTCCATAGGTTAATAAGTTTTTTTGGGGTTTTTTTTTTTTTGTTTGTTTTTGGGTTTTTTTTTTTGGTAATGAGGAAGAACAATTCAGTGTCAAGAGCTGTTGAATCCCTTGATGAAGTTTTCGGGAACGCTGCATTCACCTGTATCTGCCCGAGGATTTCCATGATATCCCTCTCGGGTCATTCACACAGTGATCAGCGCCTGGGGTCTCCCGTATCTCTCCAGCCATGGCCCATCCCCATCTCCTGGCCGAGCCACATCCTTTTACTTGAAAACTGGGTTCTAATATACACCAGGTCTTGCCTGCGAGGGTGGTGGGGGACTCATAATACAAACGTGTATACTCCAACAAATATCCAATGTGG